CAAATTTTCTGTATGTTCCCACTTGATATCACATAAATATTTTACTGGAATAATATCTTCAGGGATTTTTCTTTGTATAACTATTAAAAAGTACATGCGATATCAGGAAATGAGGAAGGGGTGAAACACACCCAAAAAATATTTCCATTCTATAAAATAATCTATTCAGTGCACAATTTTTCATTAATGAATAAGTACTGAAAATTTCATTTGAATCTGATAATTTCCCCATTTTTGTCAAATATTCTTTTTAAATTTTAAGGGAGTAGCAATTTTTGCTTTAATTTTGGAAAAAAAACATCCAATTTTGGTGGTACCTATATCTCTGATTTTTTAATGCTATATGAAACTAGTTCTGCAAATGTTGGCAAACATTTGTCTTGTTACATCTTCTGCATTTTACATTTTTCTCTCATTCATCACAAGTCAGTCATTACAGCAAAACTTTGCCACCCACTTTCTAGTGTTGACTATGAAATCCTCTCCTCCCCTTAACTATAGGTTTAATAGTAGGTCTTTTATCTGGAAAAACCAATGTTATTTTCAAAAAAAATTGTTAATGCAATATTCACTCATCAAAAAAACTTTTTTTAAATTATTCTTACAATCTAAATTATCCTTTGGATTTAAATAACCTACAAAGTCTTAAAGACCAATCAAATGATCCAATATTGATTAGCTTTTTAAACTGCTTTGGCAGCTTGTCAAAAACCACTCCTTATAAGAATGTATAATTTATGCCTCCTTAATTATTCCATTTTCATCAGAATGCAATTACATTTAAACATATACTATAGGTTTCACTTTAATAGATTTTTTTCCTGACATTTGAACTTGTATTGTTGATATTGTTACTTCAACATTTCTCCTATCCATAGTCTTCCTAAAGGAAAGAGAAGAGGCTAATTTTAGATTCTGAACAAGTCTTGAAATGATAATGACTTTATAAATCTATGGATAATGTCCATGTCAAGTTCAAATATTATATGTTTAAAAAAACTATTTTTCTTTTCCTAACTATTCAAAACATATCAAATAATCATAGAAAGCAGATCAACATTAATAATTATGTTGTTTGTATCATGTAAAGGTTAAAGGAACCTGTGTTTGATGACTCTACCCTCCAAGTCCAGTCCTGTGGATGATTGGACAACAGGAAGACTTCAAATGTTCATCAGGCATAAGTTTGTTGTCAAATGCTATTTTGTTTAACTGGACTTTTAATTTAATACAGCTTGTAATTTCTTTTAAACAATTTTAATGGATGCCTATTTTAAAACTTTATTTCATGTAGTTTTAGAAAGTTTTTCATGTGCCAGAACTAGCTGTCATTTTTTTTGTCTTTCCATTCTCATTTATTTTCTTTCTTTATTTATATTAGTTTAATTGAATAGATTTATAAAATAAACCAATAACAATTACAATATATTTTCATATAAATGAAATAATGTGAATAAGATTTGTTTCAGACATTTTTCTAGCTTCTGTGAGAGAATGAAAATAAAGTAATAAAATAATAAAAAAAATAATTTTCTCATAATGCAAAAGAAAACTGAAAAGGGGGTTCCATTCACGTGTGAATTTTATGACCCCACTTTTGGAAAGGAGATGATTGTTCTCTTCTCACTTCCCAACCATTGTTCAGATGTTTTTGGTGGGCATCCCAATGAAGAGAAGATTTGGCCACCCTCATTCAACATCAGGCTGATTTGAGGTTGACTATTCACTATAACTTTGCATATTTGTATCCATGTGAGTCAATAAACATTGGTCATTCATTTTCTATTGAAGTCTTCATTTTGTTTTGCTTAATGCCATCTACCAACATTCAACTTCTGTTTGCGGCATGAAGTCAAATACACTTCTCTGGTTTTTTTTTTTTTTTTTTTTTTTTTAACCAAATTGAAATGATTTTCAAACACTAATAAATTTTCTAAACAAGTTTTATTTTTTATTTATATTTCTTAAATTCAACTGTAAACGCAATAATTGGAGTAAAAAAAATAATCAAATAAAATTCAAAGGCACAAATTTAGGGAGAGGTGTTCAGTGGGTTGATCACCAAAATAGATAGCCTTGTTGTAAATAGAGCATGAGAATTGCTTTCTTTAGCTAGACCATACATAGTCTGTTGCTTCTTTGTCTTCTTGTCTTTCTTAGCATCAAAATAGATTTGTATTTATTCATCCCATATCATTAATTATATTTTGGGGAATCCACAACTTCCTATCCTTTGCAGATCTAGCAATGTTTGTCTCCTTACTATCCCTTCATTCTCTATTCTGCTATCCATTTATACAAACTCAATAGATAGTTTACTTGCTGTTTTCCTCTGCCTCTCTTGTCCTGTGAGTGTCAAATTCTCCAAGCTCTTTCCTCATGTACCAAAAATTTCAACTGTCTTTTTCTGATTCTATATACAAGTGTCCTTTTTGTTCCCATTTTCCTTAAAACTTCCACAATGGTCATATTTTCTATTCATGGTATTCTCAGCAGCCTTCTGTAGAACTACATCTCTGTTGCCTCATCTCCTTTTCATCTGAAATTGTCCAGCATTCACTGCCATATATGTAGATGGATATTACATTGCAGTTCAGCACACTTTGTTTCTAATGAAATTTTCTATTTCTTAATAGTTTAACTTTCAAAAGACATATTTTTCTATTCCAATGTGCCTTCAGATTTCTATAGTTTATTTTCCATTGTCTGTTATAATGTTTCCCAGATAGTTAAATTTCTGACATCTCCAATTCATAGCTTACATCTTTAGCTGTTATTCTTTCTAACAGCCCTATATTCTGTCTTCTTATTGTTATTTCTTTCTTCATGCTTTCATTTTGTTGTGTTCTGTGTCATCACTGGACCCCAACACTATTACCTTATCTAGAAGTACCTTGAGTTTTCTTTTTGTCATGACAACAGTGCCATCTGTATACTTTATGCTGTTATGATTGTGTCCACCAACTCTGTAGGACAAAAAATAAGACCTATCAAATGGCAGAACAACTTAAATGAGTCAATGGCCAGCTAACTAGAGATGGTGCCTCCATAAAATCACATAGGGAAGCCAACAAGAAACCACTCCACTACCAGGCAAATCACGGCTATACAATAAGATATTATTATCCTTGGTGAGTAATGTTGAAAGGATTTAACAGTAGGTTTTGTGTACATATAAATGGTGCAGCCACTCATATCTGAGGATGCCAATCTACTAGGGTAGCTAGCTAATCCCCATTGCAGACGCCTGCTCAGGCACATTTGTGTCTGTTCAACACCCACAGAGCTCACCTGTGGTTTATACTGCAACTATGCTGAGCAGACCTTAGTTATAGTTTCTGGGAGAGAGCCCATTACCTAGTGTGATCAATAGTCTAAAAAGGCCAGCATACTCAAACACTCTGTCACAATGACTTGTGACCTCATGCTAGCACAACCAACGATGGCTCCCAATTTCACTTCCATCTACACAGTTTCACTCACAAGGTTTGGGTCAACCCGTAGTATGGTTTTCAGGCACTTTCCAAAGGTGCTGCATGCTGGGATTGCCTCCTCCAGACCGATAACATCGAAATCACCTCAACAAATCAACCCTGGTGAGAATGGAACCAGGGTCTTATAGTCAGAAAGCAAATGTTCTAACCACTCGGCCACATCATGCCCATCAAATTTTGTGTATATAGCCATAAATATTAGCTTATTTTTGTTTCTTCTTCCTTATTCTTGTCAGAACAGTAGCACATATCACTATCAAATACTGTTACGCTGACTACAAATTAATATTTATATTAATGTCTAGCGCTTATTTTTGTCTTACTCTGAGAATTTTAGATCCCCACGACCCAACCAAAATAGATGGAAGGAAAGAGGCTCGAGTGGATTAGATTACTTTAATCCTTTAACAAAAACTTGCTTAGTTATTTTTTTTACTTTCATTGAACTAGTTTATTCTAGTTCACCACTTATTCAATATCTTTTTCATAATGAGTTTCACTTTTTAGAACCTTTCTTCAATCACATTTCAATGACTTACACACAATTATCATGAACTTCCAGAGTACTTGCATCAGTTTAAAGTCAAGTTTTTCAAAAATTCAGAAAAATATTTAAAACCAATTCTTAAAAGAATTTGAAGCAAACCGACTTGGATCACTAATTTTGTGCTTATATTTTTATCAGTGTTAATCTCCCTTACACTGTCAATTATAATGATGCAAAAACCCATGACAAAATATTTATTATAGACAAATAAATATTTTAGCTTTATAACACTCGGATATTGACATTAACAAACGTGGTTTAGAGACAGTGGCCACTCACTTTTTGATCTTTATCTTCATTCTAAAAGCATTAGTCATAAGTCATTACTATACTTTGCATACCATAGGTGCTTATTTTAACATCAAAACACATTTACTTTAAATTTTTAATTCTGTACTTTGAAGTAGAATTATGCATTAAGGTATTAATTTTTTAAATTCTTTTTTTGTTGCCTTTTACTTGATTGAATATGATTTTTTTTGCCTGACTATATCACTCATATTTGTTTGAAGAAAAGAAAGCTCATCATTACCAATATAAGTTTACTTTGTTTTAAAATACTTTTAAAAATTTCTTAATAAAAAAAAAATTAATTAAAATTTACAGTTTAATAAAATTTAGCAAACTTTGACCTTGAAAATTTTGCAATAGTAATTATTTTAAAATGTTAGATAAAAAAAAGGCATTTATAGACCAATCATGCAAATCAAGGCCAATTATATAAAGTGTTTTGGACAATCCATGGTAAGAAATTTTGTATGGATGTTTCAGAGAGCCATATCAGTTTTTAGTGCATGATTTTCCTAAAAATAAGTTAACCAAGCAAACCGCAATCACATTTTGTTGAATTCATCTTCTGATCATCTTGGTTTCTTGATAGCACATTTTTCATACATTTTATTTTAAAAGATTTTTCATCATATAAAATTGTTTATCAATCTATCCTGATTTTGCTTCAGGGACACGTTTCCGGCCACTCTCATTGGATCTTCCCAAGCCATTGTTTCCTGTGGCTGGATTTCCAATGATCTATCATCACATAGAAGCTTGTACCAAGGTTAGTTACAATTTTCATAATTTTTACTGAGTTCCTTTGTCTGTAAGGCAATGTAACTATGAAATTCTAAAGAAAAACATTTAAGAATTCAGATTTTTCATCAGTAAACCATTATCATTACCAATATAAGTAGCCAATTTGTTGGAGATTTAAATGCAAAAAAGTCATGAAATCATGCTAGATGGAAGAGAGTAATAAAATGATTTCATTAACTATTACATTGCAATATGCAATACAAGAAATGGCCCACCAAAGAAAGGATTTTGTAGAAAAACTAAATAGCAGGATGTTTAAAAAAATCTATTGACTATTAATGACAACTCCTCAGCTCAAAATATAAAAAAAAAAAAACAAACATTTTTATTTTTCAGTGTTCTAATTCTTAGTTTGCTAAAATAAGGTTACCTTATACCACATATTGCCCAACAGTGACATGCAACTGTATAAAGCAAAAGTATTCAGTTTCAGGGTATTATGGACTAAACTACATTCTACTCTGCATTCATACAACTGTTATTTTTTTTAAGCAATAACAATTCCATTGGCAAATTCTTTTATAAAAAAAAAAAAGAATGACATTACAGAATTTGGATTTTGTGGCTCTGATTATTAGAAAAGATTTGTGAGAATTCTTTTCCTCTTGATTTACAGGTGCCAAACTTGAAAGAAATTATTCTAATTGGCTTCTACCAACACAATGAGCCACTGACAAAATTTATTGAAGAATGTAAGCAAGAATTTAAAATCAAAATTAGGTAAGTATATAATTCCAGGTTAAATTTTTTGCCAGACTCTTCACCTCCAGCTACACCATACTTGGCAACCAAATTGAAGAACAAGAAAGTAACAGGTGACTGTGGTACAGGAAAATTTCAAGTGAACAATGCTTAAAAGATGTTTTTTATTGATATTCACAAAATTTGGAAATGGTCACTTATTTTCTAATGACAAGATTGCTTAACCAGTCAAGCTTAAGTTATTCATTGCAAATGCATAATGATTATTTAATGAAATCTTATCTTCTTAGTCAAAGAAATTTCAATAATGAGATTTTATCACTGTAGTCATATAACTGCAAGTGTACAATGGGTTAACCTTGGCTATTAAATGAAAAATAATTTTTCTAATGGTCTAGAATTTTCAACTACTTAATTTTAGTGGTTGTAAAGTTTATTGAAAATGAAAGAAAAAAAAAAATTAAAAGCAAATTCAAAATGTCTGCATTACAGATGTACATCTACAACTGAATGGGGAAGTAGTAAGTTGATATCAAATGTGTCATCAAAAGTGCAAGCATTGTAATTTGATTGTGACAAAAAAAAAAAAGATATGTACTGACATTACAAATTTTGTCAATTCTGTATGTTTTAATATTTTACTCTGAAATAACATCTACACCTACCCACACCAACAACCCAGTTGAAATATAAGTGTGAAGCAGTGATATTTTGCATTCTGGGTCTGACATTCACTTTTGAGTCTAATGAAAACTATCCTATTTTGTTTTGTTTCTTATTTACCATAATTAAAATTTCTATTTCTTTCACATAAAAATGTTTAATGCATACACATGACAAAAGTAAGTAAACACTTCTTATTTTGAAATGAGATTTTTAACTATCTAAATAAGTCAAGAATATTTTAAGCAAATACAATTTGCTTGGCTTTTTAAGCACTGAATTTATCAAATCTGTTATCTTTTCTTCTGATCATTTCGCATTGAATAGAAAGTTTACTGTACGTTTTCTTTTTTTTTCAAAATAAAAAATATATCCTAGACATGTTTAGTAGAATTCATATGAAGACTGATTTTGCTATTACAGGGGTTTGATATCAGTCTTGAAATCTTTTTTTTTTCCAAATACTGTATGACATGGATTGTTTTCATACAAAATATATACTGGGAAAAGTTTCTTTTGCAAAATATTTTTCTGAATTAACATTCCTACATACTGAAGATGATTTGAATGACCACGACTCCAAATTGTTCTCCATATTGAAATTTAAAAATCTACCATATTTATGGTGGGCTACAAGAAATTCAATTTAAACATGTTATTTCTACTTCTCTTGAGTTTTTAGTATATTTAAATCATTTTTATCAATAGTAGATCTTCATTCATTATCAAGTTTCAGTATAATGGTGTCTCTTCATGTCCTACCTGTCACTGCTTGAAAGTTTTTGAACAAAGCTGCTTGTTTAAGCTTTTCCAAAGAACACTTGGACAAACTAGAGGCCTTCTGGAATTCCATTCTCTGGAAGGTGAGTTAAAGATAGAATTATCTGGTCACAGTCAAAACTGATATGTTTGGAGAGAAGCCAACACTGCCTACCAAGCAAAGGACCTCATTCTCACAGAAAAGCATGGTGGTAAGAATATTAAGATCTGGGGCTGCTTTTCTGCCTCTGGACCTGGAAAACTCCCTATTATTCAAGGAATCATAAATTCTCGATTTTATCAACAAATTACAGATCAGAATCTCCTGCCATCAGTCAGTTTTAAGATTGGCTGAACAAGACAAAATATGACCCTAAACACACCAACAAAACTACCAAGGAATGGCTTAAAAGAAAGAATTTTGCAAGGAGGAGTGGGTAAAAATCCCGACCAGCAGATGCAAGAGACTTGTTAGTGGTTACAGGAGATGTTTGGTTGAAGTAATCACTGCAAAATGAAATGCTACAAAGTGCTAATTAAAAGGGTTCACATGTAAAATTTTTGTTTTTGGTGTAATAAATACCATTTTTTGAATAAATAAATAAGTTTTATCTATTTTTTTGTGTTCATTATTTGGAAAGTTTACTTAAGAAATTAATGTTTGGATGCCTATTTAATAGGATCAGTTTACATTTTTTTCACAATAACAATGGCTATATCTGGAGGGGTTTTCACAAAATAATTTCAACTGTGTGTGTGTATGTATGTATGTATGTATGTGTATATGTGTGTATATATATATATATATATATATAATATAAAACTGAGAACATTATGGGTAGATACACTGTATATTAAGGGTGGTTGGAAAACTTCTAATCCTTTCATCATATTAAAAGAAAATGTGAAGATGAGGATAACCTCTTAAGAATTAGGTAACAGTTTGTGGTAGATTTTTTTTATGAACCTTCATTTTATGGGATCATTATGAGTTCTAGTGATGTCAAGAACATGAAAAATAAGTCACCATGGTTCTATGGAGCAAACTAACTTCTCTATTACTATACAAGATTTGGCTGTCTTTTTAAGTTTTCTGGTGTGCTCTTTGTATATGACTGTGTGATGTCACTAAATCATTTTCTGGAGTAGAATACACGTGACGTGCTGTCGCTTCATTTGATGAGGTAAGTCACCGTTTTCTTCGCTATAGATTGGTATCGCTTGTAGTTATTTCTAGTGTTGAACCTAATTCATTATGATTTGTATCAATACCCATTGTTTGGCTTTTACTTATCTCTTTATTAGTATCATTTACATAATCCTCTTTTGAATCTATGATTTGATTACCAAGTTTAAATTGGCTGATGTCTCTTCCTTTCATCACAAATTCATCTGGCTCTGGTCTGTGATCTTTTGATTTGTGTTATGTTGAGTGATGGTTCATATGGTATTGACCATTTGTTCCCTTAATATATAGTCTCTGTGCACAAAATTTCTTCCCTTCACATTCCTGTTTGCATTGAATTTGTATTGTGCATCTCAGATTCCTATTTTTTTCTATTCTAATCTCTATCTTCCATTGCTTTATATGGTTCTACATTTGTTATGGGGTGTGTAGTGTTGATCTTTATGCTATCAACATCTCTAATGTATTAATTCTTCGCTCCACTTTGTCTTTTCCTTACAGGTTAGCAATCTGTTCTGGTTTTTCTTATTTACATCTCCCTTCCCATTCACTTGTGGATGTAACATTTTTAGCTTATGGTGATGGAAACCCTCTCCTCTAGCAAATTCTCTTGCTTGAAATGGTAGTCCAATATGTGTCTGTATTTTTCTCGGGGTCCCATATATCGAAAATATTTCCTTTAGCTTAGCACTTGTTTCTTTAGATCATTTAAAGTTTACTTCTTCCACTACTGGGTATCTTGATCTCTGATTTACCATAACTATGTTGTATCCTTCAAAAACTAAGTTAACACTTTCCCAGCTCTTTGGAATAGTAATAGGTTTAATTGGTTCCAGTTTATGTTCTCTCAATACTACTTTACACTCTATATAATATAATTGATCTATAATTCTGTCTAGCCTAAATGTTCATTTTTGAGAAACCAATAATTTTCTTCTTGGTAACTGTTTGTTTTTGTTCTTTTAATGTATTTGGGGTAATATCCTATTTTAGCAATTTTCTTCTGCAATAAGTTTGGAATAATATAACAATTTTGTTCCCTCTGTGTATGATTCTGTCAATTATACCAAATTCTTCTTTCATGTCCTATCTCCAGACCTTTCTCTGCTATTACCTAGTTGTTGTTGATGACATGTGATATTAGTTTACTTAATGTTGTATGCTTCCTTGTCTCTTATCTGATTCTGTCAATGGTTTCAGTGTTTTCTTTGTGCAACATGATTTTTCACTAGTTCTGTGATGTCTCAACTATAGTCTGGCATTGGGTTTCTAGATATATAATCTAGTGGTTCTAGTTTGTTTTTTCCTGGTTTCTATTTTAATATAAGTCTAATTCTGTTGTTTCCATAATCCATTTTTCTATTCATGTTGGTAATTTGGCTGCTGCCTTATTCAAAATTGATATCAAAGGTTTATTTCCTGTTATTACTGTGAATTTTGGTGCACCTATTATAGAGTTTCTGAGTCTAGCTAATGCTCATTTCACAGCTAATTCTCTGTTTGCCTCTCTGCATCTGTTAAGCTTCTACTGACAAAGTGTACTATCTGACATTTCTGGAATAATGTGGCACTTAGTCCTTCATGGAAACTAGTTTCTGTCTGTAGTATGATTGGTTTGTTTGGGTCAAAATATGGCATAGTTTTGTGGTTTGTTATTGCTAATTTAAGTTTCCTGAATGCTTGTTTCTCTTCGTTTCACTGGTATTTGATTTTGTTTTTGAGTTAAGATCTGCTTTTAATTTTAAAAAGTTTTTCTTTCTTCTCACATTCACATTTCTCTCAATTGAATTTAATTCTGTATTTTCTGGCTCTTTGTAATACTTTTTCTAGTGTTCTATTGTGTTCTCTATATTTTCCTCCCTCTGTAATGTCCTCTTTGATTCATGCAAAGAGGTATATCTTCGAACATACAAAACCACACTCAGTCAAACACATCTTGTAATGACTTCACTCCAAATATTACATTTTTTTCTGTAATTTTCCCATAGTGTACTAAATGTAGTTAATTTTCTTGTTTTTTTTTTGTAGATCATTAGTTGATGGTATCTAGCTTTCAAATCCATGTTACTGAATATTTTGCATCTTTGTAAATGGTATGTGAAATCCTTAATTGTGGATGATTGAACATATCTTTTTCTTTTGATATACTGGTTCAGTACTTTCATACCAATGTTCTCATGTATCATATGTGGTTTTAGTATATTTCATTCTTTCATTGCATATCTTTGGCTGTTTCACTAAGGGTAAACATCAAGTAATAGCTTCATTCCTGGGTACTTTCTTGAATATACCATCTACTTTTTTGTTCTATCCATTATTTAAGTGATTTCTCTATGTAATACAGTATGTACCTGGGTTTCTGTGCTATTGGGTTTACTCCTGTTTCTATTTCCAGTCTTCTATGACTTTTAATGTTTTTGGTTCTTTTATGGTATCTTTCTTCAAATGATGTTTGTCTATTATATTCATGGATGCACCACTATCCAGCTCACAGTATTCATCTATATTCCTGATTCTTACTTTTTCTATTGTATTCTGGGGTCTTTGCATAGTCCTCATTATTTTGTGGATCTTTATTTGTTCTGATAAATTTTTTATCTTCAGAGTTTGTGTTTGATCTTGTTGATCATTTTCATTTCTTGAAATCTATTATGTTCTCTATTAGGTGTGCTATCTTTATGTGCTTTATTCTCTTTGCTGTATTTAAAGCACTTAAAAGTGACTTTTTTTTTCCTTTTTTTTTTCCTATTTTTGTGACAGTTGTTGCACTCTTTCCCAAATGCTGGGCACTCTTCTTTTTTTCCTGGATCTGTGGTTTTTAAAAATTGTTGTCTCTTTGGTTCTTTCCAACTTTTCAATTTTTTCTTTCTTAACGATGTTGATTTTTGTCTACCAAGTTCACTCTGTTTGTCACATGGCATGTTTTACTTTGTGTTGGAGATCATGTCACAAGGCATGTTTTACTTTGTGTTGGAGATCATGTTTTTGACTCACTTCTATAAGAATATGGTTAGGATCCATTCTTTCTGTAGCGTTTTAGTGATTAATCCATTGTTGTTGAATATCTGTATCATGCATTTGAGTATTATTTCATTTATGGAATCACCAAAATCACAGTATCCTGCTTTTTCTTTTGGGTTTTGCTGTATGCTCTGGTATCATTTCATTTGATCCTTTATCTATTCTCATCTTGCTAAATATATATCTAGAGTGTTGTTTGTTTGTTTTTTTTATTCAGTATGTAGTGTCTGTTTTGCTTCCCATTTTAACCATGGAAATATGGTGTAACTGGCTAATTCTAACAACTTTGTTATTCAGCTTAGTGCAAAATGTCTGACTTTGGTAATTCTTGCATTTGAAGAAATTTATGCTGAATAAATATTCAACGTGTTACACTCTGTGCTTTAATGGAATTTTATATTGCAGGTACCTTTTAGAGTTCACTGCTCTTGGCACAGCCGGAGGACTTTATCACTTCCGTGACCAAATCCTTATGGGTCACCCAGAATCTTTTTTTGTGATGAATGCTGATGTTTGTGGTGATTTCCCTCTACTTGAGATGCTGAATTTTCATCGAGGAAATCCTTCAACTTGCTATGGAACAATCCTTGGTACCGAGGTAAAAATGTTTTTTTTAAATCATTCATTCTTTCTTGAATACAGTAAAGATTGTAGGTTTTAATATATAGCTTATTACTGTTTTTATTATATATCTTATTACTGTAATATATGTGTTATTACTATAAATGTAAATGTCAATTAGTGGATGCATATGTTTCAGTACATAAGTCCTTTGTGGCTAAGCAGTCTAAAAACATGCCAGGCTATATGGTGGCTTCCCTTCTATAAGGTAGATGCAGGTTCAAACCCTGCTGAAAGGCACATTATCTTTATTAAAGGCTCCAGAATACTGAGTCTTGTAGAGGCTAATTACACTGTTAAAAAATAGAGATGTCTACTCAAACATGTGTATCCTCTAAACATGTTTATATTATAAGAAATAATATCAAATTATAAGTAAAATCTATTATAAACATTCTGATTCACGATAAAAGTACTATTTGTTGTCCTTACTTTTATTTCTATTAAGCAGCTGCTAACACAACAAAAAATTATGCTTTGTAAACCTCACAGGTGGAAAAACCAAACCTGATTTTTTAATGTCTGCAGACAAACCCTAGCATTGTTTCTGTCAAGCTATCGAATTAAGATTACAAATTGCCTTTTTTTTCTTTTTTTTTTTTTTTTAAATAACATTGGCTTAAAATTATAGTACTCATTAGAGAACCATATTTTTTTACTATTTTATCTCCCTTTAACTCAACTCTCCAAGTTTTTTTTCACCACATGCAGGTATTGAACTCAAATTCTTTGGGTCAAGTCACTGGGTGCAACCAACACTTTTATCCACTGGGCCATGTGTATTTGTAAATATGAATTTTTGGGACTTATAAAACTAATGTAATGATCAGTTTGTTGTAACCATTTTTTACCAGAGCTCAAATTGCAATTTTTATTGTTATTATTGCTTTTTTCTCTACACTGTCTTTATTACTGGTTCCCATATTGTATTCATTTCTATGCTTGGCTGGCTTAGGAGATATTTGTGGCCTAGCATATTTGCTGATTCCTTAAGTTTTTGTTTTTTCCAGTCATGTTCTCTATTATTTCAACTTCATCCTACAGGGTTTGGTGATCTTTTTTCCCTCCATAGGGTCAGTCATGCCTGATTTTTCTATTTTTCCCCCTTTTACAGTGTCCTATAGTCTTATCTTAAGGTGTTGGGCCTGTTTCTCCTTCATATTTCTTACCACAGCTGCATGAGATGATGTTCACACAGTCCTTAGTCATTTTCACCTCTATGGTGGGGCTTTACTCAGAAAAGTTGTCTGCAAAGCATTGAACCACTTTTGAAGGTCATCCTGATGTTAGATTTTTTTTGCATTTTTCCCGATAATCCTTTCACATAGACTGAAGCTGTTTTCTGAGTGTTTTTATCCACTTATACCCTTCTATCCCAGTTTGTCAGAGCTGCTGCCATGTACTCAGGGTAGTTGTTATATTGTAGGGTATTGTTTATACTGACCATTTCTTGTTCTTATGTCTCTGGGTCACCACTTTTGCTCAATGTTGTAAACAATGGAAAAACCTTTCTTTACACTTTATAGGTGGTTGGAGTTGAAGCTGAGGAATTTTCCAGTGAATGTTGGCAGTATATGGATGTCTTGAATCCATTCTCTGTTCAAGATATTAGTACATCCAGAAATGTGAATTTGTTGTTTTCTCTCTCTCCATTGGGAACTGTAGCAATGATCTTATTGAGTTCACATGGTCAAAGTAGTACCATGTCCTCTTCCTCACCACCAGAGTATGAAGGAAGACCATTTTGATTATTTTGGCCATTGAGTTGGTTTTGATAATGTGGATTTTAATGCCATTTCTTCAAAGTATTCCATATATATATTTGCCATTTCTAGTGATAATGGCGAGCCCATAGCTAAGCCTTCATCCTGTTGATATATGTCTGGTCCCATTCCAAAGTCTGTTGTTTTTGTAAATAATTACAGTACCTCATCTCAGAAATATAGACAGAAGTTATAGAATATATGCATATAAAGGTTCAAAGGTAGTTTGAACTGGTATGTAAATTACTTTATGTCCTTATTAAAATTCATTGTCGTTTTTTTTCTTTTTCATTGCAACAACTGTCAATATTACTGAAAGACTTTAAAAATCCATAATTTTTATTTATTTATTTATTTTTTTTAATCGGTATCATCCAAAAAAGGCAGTACGCAAAGGAGTTACAGGGTGTGGAGGAATTAAGAACAGAAACATTAATAATGAGGTGAAAGAAAAGAGCAAATCAGGAGGACAGTTGATAGCAATTGGAATTGCATTTAAGTTTTTGCAAATTAAAGTTTGTTGGAAAGCAACAGTTTAAAGCTGGGAGGGAGTTCCACAAGTGAGAAGTATAAGATAAGAAACTTAGCATAGAAATTACAGCTACATCTAGCTAGCTCAACTATAAATTGATGATATCTCACCACTGGTCTAGTATTGCACTTAAATTCATACAGTCTAGAGCTCATCCAAACAATTACTATGAAAGTATTTATAAAAAAGGAACTGAGATGCAACCTTATGGTGGTGGACAAGTAACTGAGGCTGATCTGTGAGATCAGGACCAATAATATTGCTGATACTTCTTTGGATCTTATTGAGGAGCTTCAGATAAATAGCAGGGGCACCAGGCCATGTGTGGCAGCAATATTCTAATCATGGATGAATAGTAGACTTATAGATATACAAGATAGATTCTGGAAAAAAAATTGTCTTTTTGAAATATTGACTTTCTTAGCACCTGTTCTGGCAATGGATAAAATAAAGTCTTTTCATTTTTCATGTTTTGAAAAATTAATTGAAAGGTGGAATGAGTCACTTTCTTGGAGGATACCATCAGCTATGCTGATGGAAGACAAAGGGCTCTCAAAAAAAAAAAGATGAGGATCTTTTTCCTCAGTTAACAATGGTCTTGAGGTTGTTTTGTACATCGGCTGCCATTTTGACCTTGTCTGACTGATCAGCCTTACTGTCAGGGCAGGTGTAAATGGAAGTTTCATCAGCATAGATGCCAAGTTGAGAGCTGGTGTCATTGGGAAGGTTGTTAATGAAGATTTAAAAACAATGTAGGACCAAGGATGGATCCCTGGGGAACATCTGCATTAGTACAAAAGGATGTAGATGAGTGGCCATTCAGGATAACTTTCATTTCACGATTTGATAGGAATAACTGGACCAGCTCAAAAACATACCTAGAGATACCATAGCATTTCAGCATGTGGAGAAGACCTGAATGCCAAACCCTGTCAATGCTATAACTCAGGCTTCAACATTTTTATCTAAGGCACAATAGACTCTTTCCACAATTATCATTAGTACATCAGCAGTTCACCTGGAGAAACAAAAGCCATATTGATTGTCTGAGAACAGGCCTTGTGATTAGAGATGACTAACCAATTCAGCATTGATTAGGACCTCTAGGAGTTTCCCAAATAGAAGCAGAAGGCTAATAGGCCAATAGTTGGATGGGTCAGACAGTTCACCAGAGTTCTTAAAAACCAGAACAGACGATGACTTCCAGCAAGCAGGAAAGCAGCGAGGCATTTATTATACACTTTAGAGAGAACAGGAAGTTAGTTTGGGAGTATACTTCTTAATGACTATTACAAGGATGTCAAGTCCACATGCTTTGTGGGGATTGCAGTTAGAGATAATAGCAGAGGATGATACACCTCAATTGATTGAAGATGGGGGTATAGAAAACTTTAGTACTATTACACAGATGCACAGTAGTCACAAGAGTCAAAGATTTTAGATGCTATGCGGTGCCTCATTCTCTCAGCAAACAGTGACTTGGCTTCTTTGTTATATTTGTTATGATGAGAGCTGTATAGAACTTATAATGGCTAAGCAAAACCTGTGTGCTATAGTGGCCAAGTATGCTGGTGTGAACTATGGAGAGGATTGCAGTTTCCCCTGGTATTTCCAAGAATGGATAAAAGCATTCATGCCAGCTTTGACCTAAGAAACCTCGGTAGCACATTTTTTAATTGGGAGGCTGAAGATGTCAATTCGAAGGGTGTTATGAAGAAAATTCTAGAATGAATCCCAATCAGCATGCTGGTAACAGAAAGAGAATATAAGCTTGAGTAAAATAATAAAAAATTACTCACAAATTTTGGAAATTTGTTATGATTTATTTGAAACTTAAAATTTTTAAATTGTAGTTTTTAAATATTTCCCCGTTGTAATTCTGTGATATCATTTTTCTTTGAAAGTATATATTTTCTTAGATTATTTACATCTCAATGTATTGAAACTGAATTTTATTTTGCCTTCTTCCTTCTCTCTCTTGCATTTTTATTTTGTCCTCTTCATTGCACTTTTTATTTATCCTCTTACACTGATTTTTTTTTTTTCCATCCATCTTCCTTCAGATGTGCAGGTAGTGTAAGGGTTAGTGGTTCATAATAAGAAATCAGGGAGCTTAATTCCAGTTGGGCTTGTTACATTCACTTATGCATAAATACCTTTGGGGAAAAGTATGGATCTATTCCGCTGTGGGTTAAATAGTAAGACTTGCATCTGGAAAAAAACATTGTTATTCTCAAACGTTTTTAATGCAATGTTCACTTGCAAAAACAAAAAAAAATATTCTTACAATCCAAAATGTTTTGACTTTAAATAACCCACAAAGGGTTAAAAAAACAAATTAATCAATCCATCCTCCTCTATTGCCTTTTTTACCATCCTCTACTCTATTTTTACTTTTTTCCTTCTTCTCTATTACATTTTTATTTTGTTCTCTTGTTCCTCCTCCTGTCTTAATCATTCATTTTTCAGATTTGTTTTAAAATCTTTCTTGACCTTTTTGTAATAAAGAAAAAAAAAAAAGAGATAATCACATTTTCAGCAACCAAAGTTTTGTCTTTTCATTCTGATCCTCAATGTTGTCTAAAATTTTTTTTTTTTTTTTTTTTTTTTTAACTATTAAAAAAAAATTGCTAATCTTATATTGTAACATTGTTGAGAAAAGAGAATTGCAGAACAGTAAAT